TGATACCATGAGCAGCCCCACCCTTTCCTTTTTCCAGAGTGGAAGGCTAGTGGGCACCGCTGTCTAGGTCTGGGGTGGGGACTGAGTACAGCGCAAGGTCACATATGCCAATGCTGTTTGTGAAAATGTGGTCTTCCCAAATGACTAGTGAATTTGTTAGGGCTTTTTGCTTAAGTTCTAAACCAAATCCTAGAGCCAGCTGATACTATTTAATAATCTGGAGGATAAAATAATGGTGTATCAATAAATGGAGTCCTTATGGCATATGCTAGATTATGAAAGATGTAATCAACTTTACCCACCTCCTTTTTTGGACTTTGTATTATACTGCATGTCTCCTTCATTTTTAACCAATAAAGAGTAAATTGTCTGTAAAAAAAAAAAAAAAGGTAACATCCTATCATTTGATCTCCCTCTTTTGACCCATTTTAAAACAGTTTCTCTTAAAAAATAAAAAGTGAGGAGATATATGTGGATTAAGTGCCTGATGAATCCCGTCTGGCCAGGGATGTGAATAGCCTTGCTATCACCCATTATGCAATGGAACGTGGATTGCTGCAGATGCTGTTAGGTTCAAATGTGGCACCCTCTCACGGGATCTCCTTTTCGATCCATTAAAATTTGTTCTAGTTGTTAGTATTTTCTGCTTTATTTCCATTTGAGGTTTTCATCTGTTTTACTTTGTACTGTTAGTTGTTGTTTTTTTAAATTTATATTTTTCAGTATATGAAATCCAAGATAGGTAAGTCCATAGAGACAGTATCTGTATGAAAACGGTCCCTTGTGGGTATGCCGGCAGGGCAGGTTGGGGGGAAATGGGGAGCTAATAACAATGAGTACAGGAAAGAAGAAAAGGTTCTAAAACTGAGTGTAGTGATGATTGTGCAACTCTTCTTCATGTTGTTGAACTGTTGAATTGTATATATACTATGTGAATTATATGCCAGTAAAACTGTTGGGGAAAAAATAAACCAAACATGTAGATGCTGTCAAGTTGATCCTATTGGGTTTTCTTAGCTGTAGCACAGCAGTTCTCAACCTGTGGGTCGCGACCCCTTTGGAGGTCAAATGACCCTTTCACAGGGGTCACCCGATTCATAACAGCAACAAAATGACAGTTATGAAGTAGCAAAAAAAAATAATTTTATGGTTGGGGGGACTCACCACAACATGAGGAACTGTATGGGAGGTGGCATTAGGAGGGTTGAGAACCACTGCTGTCACAGAAAATCAGGTCTTTTTCCCATGAAGTGGCTAGGTGGGTTGAACTGCCAACCTTTAGTTGGCAGCCAAATGCTTATTCACTGCACCACCAGTACTCCTAATGTCCACAGATTGACAACGACTATTTAACTTCCTAGCTATCTATTGTCCAAGGGTCCCTAGTAGCAGTGGTTAAGCACTTGGCGGTTACCAAAAGGGCAGATGCAGCTGAGAACAGACAGCTTCATTTTTCTCCAGATGGGTTAGAACTGCTGAACTTGTGGTTCATGGCCCAATGCCTAACACACAGTGCCGCCCAGGCTCCTTCCTGCTAGAATAGCAATGATGTAAAAAATCGGAAAATAACAGACTTTGGCAAGGACACCAGAGCAGAACTCGTATCCATTGCTGGTGGGAATGTAAAATGGTGCCACCACGGGAAAAGTATAGTGATTCCTCAATTTAAAGATACAACTATATTTATGACTCAGCAAGTCCACTCCTAGGTATATACCCCAGGGACCTGAAAGCTGTGACACAAATGGACATGTGTACATCTACATTCACCAGAGCACTATTCGTAATAGCCAAAAGGTAGAATCAACCTAAGTGCCCATCAAGGGATGGATAAAATATATATATAGTATATACATAAAAAAGAGGCCCTTGGTGGCACAGTCGGTTACACATTGGGCTGCTGACTGCAAAATCAACAGTTGAAAATGACCAGCTGCCCCATAGGAGAAGATGAGGCTGTCTACTTCTGTAACATTTCACAGTCTCAGCAACCCCCGGGGGCAGTTCTGCTCTGTCCTATAAGGTCACTAGGAGTCAGAATTAGTTTGAGGACAGTGAGTGAGACATTCAATAGAATAATCGCTACTCAACCACAAAAAGAAATGAAGTTCTGATGTGTTTTCAGTACCGATGGACCTCAAAGATATTATGCCAAGTGAAAGAAGTCAATCACAAAAAATATATACTGTGTGACCTCACTTATATGAAATGACAAGAACAGGTGCATATATGAAGGTCAACTGGCTACTAGTGGTTACTTAGGGTAGGAGTTGGAGAGGGGAAAAGGGACTCCTTTGCTGAGAATTAGTAAGTTTATGTCTAAGATGAAGGGAAATTGGCATCACTGAAAGGGAAACGATAGATTAGATCTTTAATGGGTTTTGAATACATCTAGATATTTCTAGACAAAAAAAAAATTTGTTTTAAAACATTAGGAACTACAAAACATTGCTCAGAAAAGAAGGCCTAAAATATGGAGGCAAAAAAAGGAGGATATATTATGGATATCTATGGATTAGAATATTCAATTCCAATAGGTTGTACATGTCCTCCCAATTGATGGACAGCTTTGATATAATCCTAATCCATGCAAAGGCATTCATTTGACTGTGTAGCTCATAACAAACTATGGATAGCCTTGAGGAGAATGGAGATTCCAGAACACTTCATTGTGCTCATGCAGGAGTTAGGTGAACAGAACAAGGGAATTGTGCAAGGTTTAAAATCAGGAAAGGTGTATGTCAGGGTTCTATCCTCTCTCCATAGTTATTCGATCTGTATGCTGAACAACTCATCAGAGAAGCTGGATTATGTGAAGAAGAATACGGCATCAGGATGGGAGGAAAGTTTATTAACGAAGGGAGGAGGACTTGAAGCACTTGCTGATGAAGATCAAGGACTGCAGCCTTCAGTGTGGAGTACAGCTCAATGTACAGAAGACCAAAATCCTCACAACTGGGCCAATAGGTCACATCATGATAAACAGAAAAGAGTGGAGTTGTCAAGGATTTCCTCTTGCTTTGATATACGACAGTGGTTCTCCACCTTCCTAATGCTGAGACCCTTCAATACAGTTCCTCATGCTGTGGTGACCCCCCAACCATAAAATTATTTTTGTTGCTACTTCATAACTGTCATTTGCTACTGTTATGAATTGGGCGACTCCTGCGAAAGGGTCATTTGACCCCCAAAGGGGTCGCGACCCACAGGTTGAGAACTGCTGATCTACAATCAGTGCTCATGGAAGCATCAACCAAGAGATCAAATGACATGTTGCACTGGGCAAATCTGCTGCACGAGATCTCGTTTTAAAAATGTAGAAAAGCAAGGATGTCACTTTGAGGATTCGGGTGAACCTGAATCAAGGGATGGTATTTTCAATTACTCATATGCATGTGAAACTTGGACAACGAGTAAGGGAGACTGAAGAACTGATGCATTTGAGTTATGGTGCTGGTGAAGACTATTGGAAGTACCATGGACTGTCAATAGAACAAACAAAGCTGTCTTGTAAGAAGTACAGCCAGAATGTTCCTGGTGAGGTCTTTGTCTGACTTTGATATCAGGATGGTGCTGGCCTCAAGACTGAGTTAGGAAATGGTCCTTCTCTTTGATTTTTTGAAAACATTTGAGA